ATCATTTAGATCATTTTTTTAAGTAAATGTAGTTTTTAAATTATTTTCCTAGTATCAGTTAGTTTCGAGAAAATTAAGAGTGTATACCGGATATGGAACCCACAAATGCGGTAAGTGCGGTAAAATTCGGTCGATTGGGTTAAGTTTGTATATAGGATTTAATTTATCAGGTGTTAAGAGATGATTAGAGACTACCTAATGGATTGGTGTTAAAAAGACAAAAAGATAGCTTTGCATTAAAGAGGGTGACAAGTGTCACTTTGTGATTTAATTTTGGACTTTGACTACTATTCCTTAACTTTACCTATTAATCAAAATTGACCCAAAATCATCTTCATTTCAAGCTTCTTTGGTCGGCTCTCTCTAGAAAGAAAAGAAAAGAAACCTTCAACTCTTTTGCTCTCAATCTTGTTCAATCTTGCAATACAACCGATTAAACTTGAAATTTCTCCATAAAAATCCTTAGTTTAGTAGTAGTGAGGTTGTTTGTGAAGTGGTTTAGAAGAAAGTGATGCTAAATTGGTTCTTTTCTTGAGGTTGTCAGGTGAGTAGTTAAGGAATTCCTTCTTTGGTTTTGATAATGTGGAATTAATGACTTGTGTTAGTCATAGAGTTAGTTTTGTGAAAGATTTTGTGACTTTTGGTGGAGATTGGTGAATTTTCATAATTATTCATGATTTTTCTGTTTTTAATTATTTTATATTGGTTGGCCATGGATGATGGTTTGGAATGGTCTAGAATGAAACTTTGATGCGTAAATTGTGGTTGTTTGCGAAAAATTTTCGCTTTGTACGGAATATTTCAAATTTAGGGTTTGTGATTGGGGCTGTTATTGGGTTGCTATAGAACCATTGAATTGGCTTTGTTTCAAGGGTATTGTGACCTTAATAAGTGGTATTGGAAAGTCTAGGACTTGTAATGGTAGTGGTGGTTGTGTTTGGGAAACTTGAGTGAATGATGGTAGGTTGGAAATTGAATTGTAAGGGAAAATGCTATCCAAATTGTAGGGTCATATTTTCTTGGAGTTGGGGTGCTTTAGGGGTTAAATAGTGACCCTGGGGTTGTCTAAACCTTTAGCACCAAGTGTATTTTATATTACTTGCAAGTTGTTACGGTTGTACATTAATGATGTGTGGTTCGGATTTATGACTCGTAATCGAGTCTCATTGTACTTGCTTGAATGTTTTAGGGCGTGACGTAGATTCAAGACGCTCATCCGGTGGAAATTTGTGAAACTCCCTTTTGTTTGATTGGTGAGTGTACTACTCACATGATTGTTACTTCATGGCTTTGATATACTTGAAATCTATGACTTGAATGCTTGTGTTTACTGTTGAAATTGATTGAGACAAGGGTGTACTTTATCACTTTCACACCTTATATCTTATGTGACTGTTTACTGTATATATGGAATGCCACTTGAATATACGTGAACTGGTGTCGTTTGGATGTGTATCCAACGACCTCTACCGTTATCACTGAACTCAACCCCTTTGGTGATCAATTGAATCAAATCGGCAAGGGTTTGGTCGTGAAAATTGACGAGCCATGGGGACTGTTGTGTGGAATCCTTGAGTATGAGACTCTTGATTCCGGTATACTTGAGTATTACCATTTCTGAACTGATTGGAGTTCAGGCTCGGTAGAGGTATGTGAGGTGGAAGGAATTGGAGGAAGTGGAGTCTATGGTATTGGTTACTCCTTAAACGTTGACGGAAAGTCAACGAGGCGAGATCAAGTATGGCAAGCGAGGAAAAGGGCTCTTGAGAGCCGCCCATATCCTTTTCTTGGTTTGGTTTGGTAGTAGTGAACTCCACTTTGAAAGAATTTGGTTTGATTGGCTTTATGCTTACATGAATTTCATTGTTTGAGTAATGGTACCTCATTGAGCGAAAGCTCACTCCTTTACTTTTGTTTTCCTTACAGGGATTTGAACACTTTTTGGAAGACTATGCTCTTTTATTGCCGAGTCGAGCTACCTTAACATTTTGTATAGCTCCTCAATGAATGGAAACCCTAAGTGTATTGTGATCCAACATCTCTTTTGAGTTGTAACCTTGAAATCTTATTTGTACAAACATGGTTGGCAATGTTTATGTGTTATTTTGACTCGTAAATGTTTAATTTCACGGTTTATATGGATGTTGATGTTTGGTTGGATCTCGGACAGATTCGGACTTCAAACGGCGAAAAAAGGGAAAGGTCAAGGGCGAATCCGGCCGGAAATCCGTCCAGATTCAGGCCGGATTCTGACGTGGTCGACACTATTCATGTGCGGCTCCGATTTTCGTTCCTCCGTTTCTCGATTTCTGATTCGTTTAAGCGCGTTTTAATGTTTCGGAACGTTTTAGATTGTGTTTAACTGCCTTGTTAGTTCTGACGAGAGTTGGACAGGCAGTCCGCTAACCTCTTTAGTTCGTTTTAAAGGAAGGTGGGGCTGTCACAAGTACGACGTCCACTATACCGAATGTATGTGAAATTGAATATGGGAGATTTTCATTAACATGTATGGGGAAGAATTTCGTGAATTAGGGTTAGGTTTAGCGTGTTTATAGCTTGGATTATTTATGGCAGTTTATTTATTCTTTTTGTTTTGTTGCTTCATGAAGTTCATCAAGAGATGTTAGTTGTAGTTGTGGTTGAGTTATGTGGAAGGAAATGATGAACTGATAAACAACGTTGAGGAATTTAAAAATATGAATTTTCTCAGCAATTAAGTATTTGTGCCAGAAAAAAATCTTAATGGGGACAAAAATAATACTAAAATTTTTTATCTACTCTTTTTCTAATTTTTTAAGAAAAAAAAATGAATTCACTAACAAGTACAAAATGATATATATATTCCATGAACAACATAAAAAGACAAACTCAAAATTATTAATGTAATAATAATTTTATTTCAAAAACAAACTAAACTATTTACAATTGTTCACGACGATTTTTCATATTTTGATAACGGTTTATAACTTTCTCATTTTTAACTTCACGAAGTATATTTTTCTCAATATAAGTAATTAAACAATCATTCATTCAAGTGTCTCTCATTCTATTTCGTAACCGATTTTTCACTATATTCATAGCTGAAAAAGCCTTTTCTACTATAGTTGTAGCAACAAGCAAAATCAAAGTTAACTTTAAGAGCATATAAACCAATGGATACACAATATCTCTCTTAGTCTCCACCAACCTTTGAACTAGATCATAGATTTTTCTTAAATCGAGAAATTCCTTAACTGATTTTAAGTCATTAATATAAGTATCCAATTCAGTGTCAAGTGCAAGAATATCCAACTTAGAAAACTCACAAGCTTGGTTGTGGAAAAAAAGTGACTCTCGATTGTGGTCCTGTTGGGGGAAAATTCTTGGTCTGTCATTATTCCTCGAGAAGTAGAAATAATTACAATCCCCATCCCACCTAAAATTCGAGGAATTCGTTGAGAGTTAGCATAAATTCGTAGACCGGGTCGACTGGGGCACCAGACTCCAGAGGAGGAAAGGTAAATTGGGGAGTGAGGACAAAGGAAGTAAATGATGATTGGATGAAGTGATAAAAAGAAAGAGAAGTTAGGGTGTGGAAGAAAGAGGGGCTGTCGGTTGTGAAGGGAAAACGAGGACCAGAATAGGAAAGGGAACTTGGGGAGCGGGGATCAAAAGAAATAACTGATATAATTGGTACTTGGTCCTGTTGGGGGAAAATGGGGGACCAGAAGAGGAAAGTGAATGATATAAATTTTGTAACCCATTCTTTCACATTTTTTCTAAAAAAATTCTGGGGACACCTTTAAAATTATATCAAAATTGTAGAAATATTATAGGAATTTTGCCCCCCACCTTAAATCCGCCCCTGTTTGTGTCTGAGTTCAGATTGGGTTTTCGATATGTGAGCTCTTAAGACTCTGTCTTATGTTTTTAATGTAAAAGCTCAGATTTTGTTGGTAAAGCTTCCGACTATAAACAAAATTTTAATTCCTTTGACTCAAGTAGTACTTGCTAGGGAGGGCATAATATCAGAAGGCCATGGTTACACTTTTTGGTCAAAACCCCACTGCATTCTCACTGCCTAATTTATCCTATCATTCAGCTTCACTGGGAACAGAGAATGAAATTTCACACAGTGCTACTTGATATTGTTTGCATTAGGGAATGAAAAACTACATGACTTCATTTTTTGTAGAGCTAAGCTCTTGCAATTAATGCCAGTTTTAAAAGATTACTGTGAAACAATTGCTTAGTGAATAGGACCCTGACCACAATGAAACTCTAGATGCCGTGGAAGACAGGGCATGGACCTCTTCCACGTATTAGTAGAAAGTGGAGTAAAGAACATCAGTTGATTGTTCAACCCCCACGGGTTGCTCGGGCGGTCGTGTAGCTCTCATTAGGGTGAGATGGTCTGGGTTCGATCCCGAACTCAGCAACCCAGGGTAATTTCCTGAGGATTGGTGGGGCCCGCTCTCCTCGGAGTTGGTGGGACTAGTCGGATGTAGGCTCGGATACCCTCCAACTGAAAATATATATATATATATATATATATATATATATATATATATATATATATATATACTTTCTATCACACTGTGTACCTTGAAATTATCCTTGGTAGGGCCATTCTGTAAACGGACAACATATGTAAGTCTGTAAGAGATTGTAAAAAGTGAATGATGTTACATATTGAGGGATGAGGGGCAGGACCGCTCCTGAACTGTTGACGGTCATGATTTGATCCCAAAAAATTATACAGTTCAAATCATTTTTTGTATCTCGTTTTTAACAATGTGTGTAGGATCCATAAAAATTTATTCTAAAATTACATATTGTACAAATAAAGTTACATCATATGCAAATAGAATTACACGGTATATAAAATATACAAAACTGCTAAAAACGATTGCACCTGCAACCGTTCCTGCCTGTGGTCCCATATTGAGATTAGTTCAGCTTTTGTTTTGAAAGTAGTTATTCCTTTCTCAGTTCTCGATGTTTACTTTACTTTTTTTCTCTACTAAAAACCCATACTATTGTATCAATCTGTTCAAAAATTTCTATAAGTTTTTTGGTTTTTTGCCCTGTATCCTCTTCATCTTTTGGTTTGATGCTTCAAAAAAGAATCTCCCCCTTCAGTGGTTTAGTTTTGGAAATGTTCTCCAGTACTAGAAGAGTGAACATCTCGAGCTACAGGAATTAAATAAGAGTTGAACTCTATTGGTTTGCATTATACTAGTATTATAACTATAAGAGCACAACTTTCCTCTGATCGCCGGTTAAAAATTATTTCCTTTGTTGTCATCTATCTATCTGAAGCTGTATTTTGCTGTAATTCTTGCTTAAAGTACTATGCTTTTAGTTGAATGACATCTAAGAATAGTTTAGACATTTTTTACTTGGACAGAGATATAGGAGGATAAAAATATGGATCCCTTTTTTTCCTTGGCCTCTTCTTTGTCAAAGTTTTGAGCTTTGATGTCATCACGATTTTGATTAAAGAAGCTTGATGACAGGAAAAACTACGGATTTGGGTACCTTTTTAGTTCTCAAACTATTTACTTTGGGATTACTTGATTAAGTGGAAGTATAATTGTTAGGTTATTAGTCTGCCGATACTCTGAGCATCTTTAGATTGATTTTTCTTCTTATTATCCTTCCTCTTCATCCTGACACCCATTCGGAAGGTATTCTTGAATCTTTGGTGCTACAACTGTGATATAGCTTCAGTTCCTACTATTATTACTGGTGGTTGCATATTGCAGCTACACCTGATCAGCCCAAAGCCGTTATACATCCGCCTTTCCGTTTGGCTATGACTAGTTGAAGCTTCTGTTTTGAGAAACTTTATGATAAAGCACTGTCTTTAGTTTTCAGAGTACCTTCCAAAGTAGTCTTGTTTCGTGTAGGGAAAGAGGCTCAATGCGCTTATCACCTTTATTGGAATAATTCTGTGCATGGCTTGAGAAGCATCTAGTTGAGGATTACTAGGAAAAATGGCCTTTGGATTTTTCCTGCCTCGTAACGAAAAAGAAAAGATTGAGCAACATCCCTAATAAGTTGATTTGTATGTGATAATGGTCTTGCCCAAGTTGTCATCTGTCCTTCCCAACACAAGTAGTAGTTTGTGGCAGGTTGTTTGTTACTGCCGTTTCTGATGCCTTGTCCTTCATCCTACATAGGATAGACTGTGGTCATATTTTTTCTTCTTTTGGCTTAGAAGAGTGCCTAGACCTCCGCTATTGATGTTAAAGTTGCCCTTTACTTGTATTTTATCTGTGGAATCAGATTCAGATATTTTTTTGGGAACTCTGTGCTTCAACTTATACTGTGTTTTTTTCTTTTAATTTGTATGGTTTATGGCTTATTCGAGTATGGTTTTGATTCTCATCCTTTTGTCTAATATCATTCACAACTAAAAGATGGGATTCTTAGTTTCTACTCTCTTTTCTTCTTGGACAGTTAATAGGAGGCTTGATGAATGGGTGAAACTGGAGCAACTTGATCTTGATTCAGTTGAGACCGTTGTGGCTGAAAAAGTGGAGGACAAGGTCTGCATTTTCTTTACTTCTTCTTAGTTTCCTTAATTGATATGATAGTTTGGGCTTTCCACTGGCAATTATAACAAATATCTTGTCTTAATATCTTCATCTCTCTGCATTATCTTGTCTAAAAGCTTTTAGAGTTTTTGGGATGCCGTGACCTCACAGGAACAAGGGAAGAACCACGATGTTTAAAACTATTTTATGCCATCTCTTGATTTTTGATGATGTTCTAAATTCATGTTATCAAGTAGAATGTTTTTTCTTTTGTGTTGAAGAACCAAAACAGAATGCTGTTAGTTATCAGTGCTTATGCAAACAACCCCGATTTTCTTAAAAAGGAAAAAGAAAGTGAAAATGAAAAAATGGATATTTGAGTTTGAAGAAATGAATTTTCTCTTTAAATGTTTCTTCTGTTTTCCTTTTCATCCTTTTTGGTTGGTAGGTAAGGGGTTAGGGAGAGGGTTCTTTGTCTTTGTTGCATAAAGCACACAAAGTTTGCACCCAGTTTCCTCCCTGTTTTCACCCATTAACATTATTGGGCCACTACTTTTGCTGGGATTTGATGCTTCTATAATTTTGTATTTCCAAATTGCCATCTACATCCTCTCTGTTTGATTTACTAAGATTTTGGAAAGTCAAGTCCTCTACTCCACTGTGGGGTCACTGCTATAGTGGACTTCAAGCAGAAAATGTGCAGTATTGTTTCCATGTCCAACCTTGGTTACTGTCTGACTTGAGTGAGCAGAACTTTTTTCCTTTTCATCAGTGAATAATTAGCTGCTGTTGGTTTGGTCCATAATGGAGGACCATCTAATTGGGTCAATGTTATTCTAGTGTCATTCTATGGTGAGTGGTTAAGCATGCTACTCATTGCTCAAAATATGTGATGGTTACAGTTCATGATACTCCTATTTGTTTACTTTTTAGTAGTCCATATTTATTCTTGATAATGGACGAATTGTTCTGCATCAGTTTTTTGTATGTCGACAGATTTTAAATTTCTTTGTTGTCCTGCTTCAGGTAACAAGCTTGAAAACGACTCGTCATAAAAAAACGCAAGATTGATGAGACACACGTGGAGGTAGTCATTGGTCATTTGATATTTCTTCTACAACATGCATTATTAATTAACATTGTTGCAAAATCTTTACTTTTTATTGTTGCTTTTGTTGCTATGTTTGGTGGTTATGCAGATGATCAAGAAGACCCTTTTACACAGTTTTTGAACTTGATTATTGTTATAAGTTTCATTTACCTATTGTTAATTTATGTAATCTCTAGTTAGGTAAAACTGCTGTAAAATTCTACCACTCCTGGGGTTAGTTGTCCCTTTGTGCCACATAAAATCCACTATACCTTCAAAGAAATGAATTGAGTCAAAATTTCAGTGAAAGCTATGATGCCCACTTTTAACTTCTTGATGTAATAATTTTATTGGGGAAAATAAGCAAGTTCAGGTGAAATTCTTTTGACTTATTTTCTGTGCTAACAGCTGTTGTTGTTGCCCTATGCTCCATGTACGCCAGGAGCTGCTATCACTATGTCTTCAGGATCAGTATGCTATAACATGAACTTGTGAGGGTTAGAAGTTTTGTCTAAAGCAGATCTTGTATCAAATGATTGGTGTAACATGAGATGTATAATAAGAATCCATTCTCTGGGTACTTTTCAGTGTGTGTGACAGCTGTGTTATGTTTAATTGGCTCCTAATAGCTATTGCAGTGAATTTTATTCTTCTTTTCTTGAAATCATATGGATGCCTGCCATCTGCTCTAGAAAGTGAATTTGTACAAATGTACACTTTTTGAGATTAACTACGTTGCTAAAATCATGATACATGCTCCGTCTCTCACCTCTCACATGCTGTTACACACATCTACAGGTACATAAATGATACAGTGTACCTGCATATAGGCATTCATGGTGCTGGTTGTTGAGAGTTGGCATGCTAATCTACATGCATGTTTAGGCTATTTTCTGGACTATCTTGCTTGAGTTTTATGAAGTAAAATATTATGTTTTAGCATTATACAAAATTACCATTTTGTTGGATTTACTTGTCCTTTTCTTATCATTTTCATTTCTCTGTAAGGATGTTTTGGATTTATTTCTAGGTGGTCAACTAAACAATGCTGCTCTGTGTAGGGGCATGACGAGCTTGACGCTGCCAGCTCGCGTGAACACGAAGGATTCACAAAGGTGAAGAATATTGCCACAATAGAGCTCGGAAGATATGAGATTGAGACATGGTACTTCTCCCCCATTCCCCCAGAATACAATGACTGTGTGAAGCTCTACTTTTGTGAATTTTGCCTCAATTTCATGAAGCGCAAACAACAGCTTCAGAGGCATATGGTGAGCTTGCTTTGAATACTTCTAGTTTGCAAAATTTTCCTTTTATAGCATGTCCCTACTAACAGATGCTCTGCCTCTGGACCAGAGGTCTCTAGCTTTTTTTTTGAATAAAAAAGTCTACTTGTACACTGATTATTTGTACCACTTCTTATAGATGCATTCCCAATGGCTAGCTAACCACCTCTTACATGCTAGTCTTCTGTACTTGCTTATTCTGTCATATTTGGAAGTCCTTTCCTTTTTTCTTTTGGAATTGTTGATACATGACACATCAAAAGGGGCATCAAACGAAGAATGTTGCATGAATTGTGAACTACAGAATTTCCCCCCTATCAGCAATATGTACACACACATGCACACACACATATATAGGTATGTATTTGTGCAGCATAATGATGTATTTAAGATATGCATTAGTTTCTGAGATGTTATAAATAGTTCAAGCTTCTAGAACATATTGCTCTCGGTAGGCCTTCTTCTGTTATTAACCTTAGTATGTTAGAAAATCATTATATCAGGCTTATTAAGGAGATGTTGGTTTCATGGAAATGCCTATTGGATGCATTGATGTTGGTTTCATAGAAACACCTATTGGATGCATTGATACTTTAACTTACAAATTTTCTACATTTTTAAAGAGTTTTATTATTTAAAGATACCCAGAGCACCATATTTACAAAATACTGTAGATGTTAGCTTGATTTTCCCTATACTCAAGCTGAATTTTGCCAATGATGCATGATGGTGGTTTAAGTGTTAGACTGTGATTGTATGGCATTATTCACTGTGGTACTTACAAATAATTTAAGACAATTTATTCATGAATATATGCTTAGAGTTTCTTGAAAAGCAGACTTTTGTGTCTTAGCACAAAAGTAAGTAGTCTTTTAAGTGCAACGGATGCATTCTTTGACCTTTGCAGTGAAGCATGTTTCCATAATCTGTTGTAGGCCTAAATGAGATCATTGTTGTCTCATTCTTGTCATGTTAACTAAAGGTGCCAAGGTTTCATCCTTAGGAACAAAACCAACCAATTGTCTGGCATTTCTAATGGATCTTGTATTTGGAAGCAAGGGTGTTTTTGCATCCACAATTGTCACTTTATACTGAAGGGTTGAATCTTTATGATTGTCTTGTTTTAGTAGCTGTGGTACTAAATATGCATTTCTGTTGTCTTGTATATTAGACACAGTTACGTATAATGTCATCTTATCAAGACCAATTTATATATCATTTCCTCATTAGTTACAGCAGGGGAACCTTTTATGATCATAATTATGTGTGGAGGACCATTTTCTGATTTTTGATATTTTTTGTGTAGAGGAAATGCGATATCAAGCATCCTCCTGGTGATGAGATATATTGATGTGGTACCTTGTCAATGTTTGAGGTATACATTATATCTTTATTCTCCTGTTGTGTTGAAACATGATTTTAGAGCTCATTAGTCACCTAACTTTTCCAATGTATCTGAGAAAGGGATTCAGGAAGTTATATTGAGATATAAGAATGTACTCTTTTGTTTCCTTTTTCTTAATCATGATCTTCAATATACTTTTAGTGATTTTTTGGTGTCGCTTCTCGAAAAATGTTGATTTATAGGCTTTCACGTATATTTATTTTTTGCAGTTAAGGTTTAAGTTGGGAACATTTGAAACAGGTTGATGGGAAGAAGAACAAAGTTTATGGACAGAACCTATGCTACCTTGCTAAACTATTTCTTGATCACAAGACCCTTTAGTATGATGTGGACTTGTTTCTGTTCTATGTGCTGTGTGAATGTGATGATCGTGGTTGCCACATGGTTGGCTATTTTTCGAAGGTAATTCTTTATCTTCAGGTGCTGCGTTTTCTGCCTCGCACCCACACACACACACACCCCCCCCCCTTCTCTTCTACCCATTGCGCTACAGCTCCCCCCCTCCCGGCAAAGCAAAACCCCTTTTTCTCCTTTTGCTCTTTTGGTGGTATTCACATGATTCACTTTTACCCTTTTTTCGTTGTTGCACTGCTCTAGTTAGTGTGATTCTGATGGTTGGAAATGTCACTGGCTTTAGTTGCGAATATGGTGCTGTTAGTAGCAAAATTTATGTTTGCAATCTCAATTTAATACTGACTGGTGACCACCAATGGATGCTAATTCCTTGTGAATTGAGTTGTATCTCAATTTATCCGCATGGCGAGTGCTACCAAATCGGTAAACTTGTATTGAGAATGAAGTAGTATCTTTGGATTATGTACTAATCTTTGACTTTCATAACTTTTTGGCATATGATCTTGTGCTTTTTGTTTGTATGTGGCAAAAACATCTTAAATATCATTTACTAGTATTTATTGAAAGCTGAAAGATGCTATCTGCTCTGAATGTAAGATTTGTTGTAGAAACTCTGAATAAAAGGGGCAACATAAATGGGTAGTGTATTCTTGGGTGTCTTCCAATGATTGTGATTATCTTCTTGAGGTGTTTGACTGGCAACTGCACATGTATATCGTGCCATAAAGTTGTTTTGTAGATTGGAAGGGGACAAATGAGCTTTCTGATAAGTGTATAGGAGGATTTATTGAGCCTATATGTACATGTTGTCCTCTTATTTTACCATCTTTTTTTCTCTTTTGTTGATGTTTACTCCTCTTCTCTCTTATGTTCCTTTTACAATTTTCGTTTGCATCAACTGTACCATCAATCTGAGCTTGAATCGTCAAGAAAATAGATTTACATGTTTCATGAAAGCTAATACTTATTGAAGCATGTAAAAAATAAAATAAAATGTTCCTTGCTCTCGTTTGCCTGATGATTCAGGAAAAGCATTCTGAGGAGTCCTACAATTTGGCATGCATTCTGACTCTTCCTCCTTATCAGAGGAAAGGCTATGGGAAATTTTTAATTGCTTTTTGTAAGTCTCTTCATACGTTGCTTTCATGTATTTTATTTAAGGGAAAGTACATTCCAAGAGGACAAGAATTTAAGTAATTATTTTTTGAAGCTCATGCAGTATACGTCGGCAATTTTCCTCTTTCTTGTTTGTTTGTATTTGTTTCTCAGCATTGATATTATCTTTTCTCGTTCCAATTTTCTGAGACTGGCATTTGCCCCTCATATGGAAATTACATTTACTGTTTCCTGATCCTCTCAGTTGCTGTAAGATCAATACTATAGCTAGAACAAAATAATCTGTTTAGAAGTGCGGATAATTGCCTATTACGATATGCACGGTGGTATGATGTTTTCTGCAATTTATCTCCTAGTTTGACGATGTTGGTTTTCTTCTTGATGCAATAGTAAATTTTAAATTCCTCATCAAGGAATGTCAATTGTGGATTTTACAAAAGATAAATGAAGCTTTACGAGTACAATACTGTTCATTGCTATGCATTTATAGGTCATGTTAATTTGAGGCACTCTCTTCTCTTAGTTATTGCTCCCCAATCCCCATCCTAGATGTCTTAGCTTCTGGTTTTCATGATTAACTTTCATAAGCAAGCTATTTTAATCTCTCTCCACTTGTGGCGCAGCATATGAACTTTCAAAAAATGAAGGCAAGGTTGGTACACCAGAAAGACCTCTTTCTGACCTTGGACTTTTGAGCTATGGGGATACTGGACTCGTGTTCTGTTAGACATATTGAAGAAGCACAAGGGCAACATCTCTATCAAGGTCTGACTTCTGAATACTGGATCTGTTGGACTTGTCTATTTATGACTGGAAGCGAGAAGTTAATGCCAAATTAGCATTCTTTACAAGAATTTATAATGAAGAGGGAGAGTGAGAGGGAGAGGGACAGCTGCCTTTAGTGATAGATTTGGGATATTGAATTCCAGAGTCATCTAATGATACTTTTTGACATTTCTAACTGGCATGCGCTTTAGAGGAAATAAATAAATAAAGGCACCACCAGAAATGCATAATGGCTAATTTGGGACTTGAAATATCCTAGTGCTTTATGTCAATTGTGTTGTTAACGTTTTCTTTGAGATCTAGGTTCTTTCATGGCTATAGGAATTCCACAATATGCCAAGACCTTGTGAAGTGATGGATAACTTGGTCTTCATTGTTTAGCTGAATAAATATCTTAAAAAACTTTTCTGTCTTCGTCTTTAAAGAAAAGGTTCCAAGTTGTTTGGCAGAGGATGGTTAAATTTAATGAGATTAGATGGTTTAAGTCAGAAAAGTGTCATGAGCTTGTATCGGATCATGGTGTATGCTTCCGAAATTTTGCTCCTCTGCAGCAATTGAAATGTTTCTTTAGTAACATGACGTCTTTGCTTCCTATTTCTTACAACCTCGCAGGAGCTCAGTGACGTGACAGCCATCAAGGCTGAGGATGTCTTGACTACACTTCAAAACATTAGAGTTGATCCGATACAGAAAAGGGCAGCATGTCATCTGTAAGCAGCTGGTCGGGGCGGTCTAGATGTTGATGTTAGTAAATTGATATGGACTCCGTATAAAGAGCAGAACTAAGTACTTTGGTTATCAAAGTTTTCTGTGGCTTGTTAACCCTTGTGTACATGTGTAGGATAGTTAAAGTTGGAAAGCCAGGTGACTTTCTCTGCTAAATACTTCCGGCGAAGGATTTTAGTGGCCTGGGTGGATAGATATGTTGACACATTGCTATTAACTGGTTGTAACATAGGAACATGTAAAATGTAGCATCTACTTTTACTGCCAAGAAACTAGAGCCTGCCTTTATTATGAAATCTGTTCGATCAGAGTCTAAATTGCCTTGCTATGTTCACGAGCAACGTGAATTGCTGGGAAGTAGAAAGTTCAATGCACAGGGGTGTGCGAGTAGTAATGAGCAGTTCGATTGAGTACATAATTTGGTTTCTAGAATGCAGGATTTTTTTTTTTTTTGGAGAAAAAATTTATACTGCGTGGTCACTTTTTTGAAATATAGAGTATATGTTTCCCTTGAAAGCTCTAACTCAAACTCAATATGTTTACTCTCTGGTTTGATTATTCTTTCGTTTTCGAGTGTCCTAACTTGAATCTTCTACCTTATCATCGGCTTATCCCATTGAAGGGGCAAAAGTATATAAAACCACAAGATCCTAATTTCCTTTGTTGGTTTCACAAAGTACACAGACTCGATGAAAAACTTTTCAAAACTGAAAAAATGCAAAAACTTGTCAAAACTTAAAAAATGCAAATCCCTTTGCTATTCGTTTTTTTTTTTTCTTTTCTTTTTCTAATTATCAAAAGTCAAAACTTTAAATGCCAGCATAAGCTTCATCTTTGAAATCCCACAGATACAACTACGCGGTCGAGATTCTCAAGACTCGTACGGATGGCCACAATTTGGACGCTAAAACGTCACTACAATAAAAGTCGAAAAGCTTGAAAAATATAACATCCTACAGCATCAAATTTACAAAATAACAGCCAGCATATCCAAATTCCAACTTGATGAACTTCACAACCATCGTAAGCTAAAACCGCTTGAAAAATGCCCGGTGCAATCTCAGGTCACCAGTCCAATCTGGAAACTCCGGGGGTATGATTGCTAATGATCTGCACATGGGGCAAGTGTTCTTTTCTCGCAGCCACTTCTTTATGCAATCTGCATGAAAATGATGCTCGCAATAGTATAGACCTGCAATGCTGTCGTTCGTCTGATACTTCTCCTGCTCAGTACTCAACAGTAAAGGTCACAATTTGGAAGCACAAATAAAGCAGAAACCTGCAACATGGACCGAAAAAACTACCGACTATTTACCGCGCATATACAGCAATTCTCCTGCTTGTCAGTAGAACCTGGGGATCCTTCCGAAAGCGAGCCATTAGCTGACGGAGCATAAACTGTAGTTCTTAGACGCCTTGAAATCAGATCTTCCGAGATCCCAGCTTCTTCCTTACGAATGAGTCTCTTAAAGCGCAAGCGGACCCCCTATAAAAATGCATTTTTATCGAAATCCTTTGTTCGTTTTTAGATGCAAATTATTCTTACAAGAACTCAAAACAAACAGTCTAAATGCATATGCATTTAAACATACGATCAGCAGGACAAAAATAGTGTAAGTTTCTGAAGCCAATGTTTCTGGGGAAAAATTAATAAAGGCAGAACAATCCTCTCTAACAAAGAAGGTTCCCCATGAATCCTCCCATACCTTCCCAATCAAACTGCAACAAGAGATGGATTGCTTTATAAGCCATTTCTACCTTTAGCTTCATGCAATATGTGCTTTTTGTGTGCGTGTGTGTGTGTGTGAATTTCCATAAGAATCGTTTCCGTATTTGCATGCGTGTTTGACTTTCCTTTCATCAAAAGTGTAAGAAAAAAATATGTAGAGTATGACCCATCGATCTAATAGCCAGCTGGTGGATCATTACCTCATTTGTTAATCTTTCAACCTTCCAACCATACTCAGCATTTCTGGACAAATCTTCTATGGAAAAGCAAGTTACCAAATGCGAAATTGTCATATAAGGAGATTGGAACGTACGATAGGTTTTCGTTTCGGGGATTCGAGCTCTCAACTGCAGAAACCTCATATAAAAACTGCATCAATAATCAGAAAGAACTAGAAGGAAATTAAAAAGGAAGCTGACAGGCTAGCAGAGGTCAAGGATATTATCATCGTGGCCTGATATGGCCTCTCAACAAGTCATCTAGATCTGTATCTCGATTTCCTTTTCAGTAACACAAATACAATAGAAACAAGAGCAAAAAAAGAGAATTTGAAGATTGGGAGGTACAAGAACGTTACTTTCTCATATCTCTTCACCACCGCCCCCCAATAAAGAGCACTACTTTCATCATAAGGTCTGTATCCGTAGACTTCTTCATAAGTTGTGTGATTAGAGGAACCCGCCTCACCATTTGCAGCATGTGTACTGATGCCCCCATTTTCCAAGCACTGCCCCTCATTGATAGTGTTAACTGAGCCCAAATATAATTTATTGTAAGAACAAATACTGTCTAAAAGTAAGAGGATAAAAAATGAAGCGCACAATTGAGCTTCAATAACAGCCGACCTGCAGATTCCTGGTCTTGAAGATTAACACTGCACTGCAGACTGGGATTTGACCGGTGATCACTGTCAGTAATCTCACTTGCCACTCTTCCTGTATAAACTTTTGGATTAGTAAGCGCACCAACCTTAAAGTAACCATCATCATCAAGGACAAGAACATCTGAGGATCAATTTTGACCCCAAAACAAGTTTGAGATTGTATTGTGGGAGTGGGAGTCTAGACCACGAGATATAAACCTTGAGCTAGAGGGCACACCTACACAACTTTAAGCTCAGAATTCCAGCTTGGCTGGTCAAAGATTTACAAGCTCTTTAATAAAAGCATCATACGATTAACAACATTGAAAAGGGATAGAAGAACTTTTCTTCTGGAAAAAACCCACCTCCCTCAATTTTCTCCATGGATTGTTCAGAAACTTGAATGTTAGAAGTATTTAGTAGGTCTTCACAACAATCGATGCGTCTCGTTACTCTTCTGTGAGGTGATCCAGTTACAACCAAGATCTCATCAGTGTCCTTATCTGATCAGTGTCATTATCTAATTTACTTCTCTCTGAAGATGTAGGATCTACTCCAACTGCAAGTGGCGACACCATATCACTACAATCACTTGTTCACTTAATCTGGTTTACCATCAAGTTTAAAAGGAAGAAAATTATGGAATCACTATAGACAGAAGTGCAAGAAAAAGGTTGAAAAATAAACATCAACATAGGAGCAAAACTTAAAAGTATAAACTGGTCAACAGACCTATTGACAATGAAAAATGCGTATTTTAAGGTATATTATACGAGCATGCATGCTCCACTTTTTTGGCCTACTGATTGCTGTAGAAATGTTAACCACGAAGACCAAAACGAATAGATCAGGTTTCATCAATATTTTGTGCTAAAATGCTTTTATTTTGATGATCCAGAACATCAGATTACATCCCCTTGAACTTGTTAACATATTCCAATAACTGCGTTGTGATACTAATTAATTATATAACAACGCTGCTGTAGGAATTGATCCCTTCTCATTATCTTAGAACCTTTTGATATGCAGTGACGGAGCCAGGATTTTTTTTTTGGAGGGGCCAAAATTGAAATTCCATTCAAAGATGACTAATTCATATATATATATATATATATATCAACTCTCATAATATAAACTAAAATTGAAAAAATTTAGGGGGGGCTAATTTTATTTTACACACATATTTACATATTATGAATTAAAATTCTCAAAACTTAGGGGGGGCCATGGCCCCCCCTCTGCCCCCTTGGCTCCGTCATTGTTGATATGCAAACATGACCAAAGTACTTGAAAGTTTGTAGCACACGTAAAAAAACAAATGATAGTCTATCCTTTTCTGCAGCAATTAGAAAAGTTATAGATATTCAAGAAACAAAGAACAAGGCGGTAAATGATGGTTTGGATAAACACCCAAAGAACGAATAAAAGACCCAACAAACTTAAGTAGAACAACAACAACACAGAGGGTTGGTAGGCAAAACAAATTCTTAAGTAGAACAAACGTTACTCGCCATATTGCACAAGTAAAATCCCTTTTCGACTCAACTAACAAACTGACCAGAAAATTTAGTTCTAACATGAAAATACATAATTTTACAGCACTTATTCATTATTTGGCTTGATATTGCCAACAATTTCATATCTAGACTGTCTCTGTTAACTAGGAGTGTTGTTTACTAGATATATTTGAAGAAACAAAAATAAGAGTTCAAGATAGCTTTTATGCCAAAACTTAATAGAAGTAGTAGATAATAAAATCTAAAAATACTAACCTTCTACCGTTACTGCGGAAGAAATTACTGATAAATTTTTCTTCCACGAGGGAGGAGACAATTAGCCGCACGATGCGTATATAGGAATTGCATTGAATCAGAATGGGTTTAGGGTTTGTTTGAAGAAACAAAAGAGTTCAAGATAGCTTTTATGCCAAACTTAATAGTAGTAGTAGATAGCAAAAGCTAAAAATACTAACCTTCTAACGTTACCGCTGAAGAAGTCACCGGTAAATTTGACGTTATTTCGTTCTCCCACGGCGAAGGAGACAATTAGTCGTACGATGCGTATATAGGAATTGCATTGAATCCGAACGGGTTAAGGTTTGTTTGGATATACAGTGACCAACTTACGATAAAATTTCCATGGATTAACAATTTTGAAACTATACAAATTCTATTGATTTAAGGAGTTATTAATTAATCAATAATTTATTAATTTATCGAGTGTACTTATAATTCAAAAAACACTCATTTAATCAATTAAAGTTTTATCTTATTTTATAAAACTATAAATTGCTAATAGAGGCAAAAAAACCTATAGAATATAAGCCATCCACTACTTGATTTGCTAGTGTAATTTAATTCTATTATAAATCAGATTAATAAAATTATATATATAAATGACAAGGAAGTCTTCTTACAATAAAAAAATACAAAGTCTTCCTACACATCTCATTATTAAATCAAATTAATAATATTATATATATAAATGACAAGAAAGTCTTCTTATAATAAATAAACACAAAATCTTCTTACACATCTCATTGTTAAATTAATAGCAAGGGTGTTCATAAATAACCAATCAAATGCTTAAAGCATTATGTGACTATAGTGGAAAGCATCCAAAATATGATATGTAATTTTATTGAATTATTAATGTATGATATGAATGGAACCATAGGGTTGTGTAAGATTTTCAAAAAAAAATTATTATCTCATTATTTTATGAAAATTATTAATTTAGTTCGTTAGTCCAAGTTGGGATCGAAAAAATTATTATTTAATAGATATTATTAATTTATTAAATATTAATTTATAGATGTTTTACTATATCATGTATGGCAACTCTTATTCTTGGTTATTTGCCTTGAGCTGGCAATTATGCTTTACACCATGAACTAATGCCTCTAGTTGTTTGCTCGATTTAAAAGCTTTGATTTTTTAATTACTTTCTAATGTTGACGTTGTGTTTATCAATAATTATACAATATACATAATCAAATAATGAATATATACTTTTCATTTATGAAAACATTTATTCAAAAAATAAAGAATTATTCAATCTTAACGAGCAGAATCTTTGCAAGTTTGAACTGATTCAGGATTTCAATCAAAACGAAATCTAATCTCTTTGCCAAAAATTAAACTCAAATCGAAACCTTTTTCTCAATTCCTATATAGCTCTACAAGATACTCCTTTCTCTACCGCATTTAGTAAACTTACTACTTTTACTCCTCTCTCCGCTTTTTCTTTTAGAAGGAACATTCCCAGTACGGAAAAGAGCATTTAAAACTAAAAGTACGTAGTTTACTTTTTCAACCAATAGAGTTGGTAGACTAAGATAAAATTGTTCCAGTGTTAATCGTCTTTCGTGCTGTTAAATTTTTCGTTTCTGAAATACAGCAGAGGACTCGTTATATAAAGAAATGATATATTTAGACTCTCAATTTTTTTTAAAAAAAAAAAAAAAAAAGACTCTCAATACTCGGGTGCCTAAACACTTCCCCACTCCCCAGTAACTACTGTAAACTTTTAGGGTCACCTCCCTTGTGGTTTGGCCAAATTACCATTACATCCCCTCAAATTTTAAATATTACAATTACCCCCTTTGATTTGATAGTCCAATAACAATCATCCCCTCACCATTAAAAAACCAACGTGTAGTGACTGAGAAAGGCTATAGATTAATTTTGTATTTACCAAAATAACCCTAGCTCTTAGCTTTTTTTTCAAAAAAAGAAAAAATGGAAAAAAGAAGTCAAAATAGAAAAAGCATTTGTCAATTACAAACCATTGCCCTGCACATATTGGTTACTCATTTCTGTGAGGCTAAACCCAATGAAGCATCTAATGATGACCAAATGTTAACCAATCAGTTTGTTTAACTATTTGAAGGCTCCTTGGCAGTGGTCTGCGATGGGAAGATTTTGAGCGAAAAATCAAATGGGTTGAGAGACTCCCATCGATCCTTACTTTCCAATCTTTCTTTCGAAACCCAAAGAGCTTACGTCAATTTTTACAAACCTAAACCCCGAGGGAACCCCAAAAGCCAGTATCCTTTGAGGTCCCATAGGAGACTTATAACTACCAATCCAAACCCTCCCAACCCCGATGTGGGATACATCTAAGGGAATGTACTTTCCAATCTTTGATGCCGTCATTTCTGATTACTTTGATGTACATGCTGAGAATTTCTCATTTTACGTCAAAGTCCGAACTCTAGTTTTGGTCATTTTATGATATTAATCACAATGGAATGGCCATGGGGATTCAAAATGAAATGGGTTTTGATGTTTTGGGTAATTGGATCTTGATTAGAGAATCCATTGATGTTTTTGCTTTTCTTTTTTCCTAATTCTTTAGCTGATTTGTGTCATATTTTCCATAAGGATTACTCTCTTGTATATGGATGATGATCTTGGGTGGTAAAGGAAAAAAAGATCTGCCATTGATTTGGGATTTTTTGATAGCTTTTCAATTACTTTTTGTCAAATATAAGGCTAAAGTTTTACTCTAATTAAAAATTTTGAACCCATTGAGCAAATTTAACTAAATTCCACCAATGGAAGATGGTTGCTAGAGATGGCAGCAGTGGTGGAGAATGGCGGATCTGGTTGGACTGCTGCAACTGTTGCTTCCATTTGGGTCCTAATCATTATGGATGGTAGTCTAAAGTTTTAAAATTAGTTAGAAGGGGGTGAAAATAAATATAAAAAATAAAAATGAATTTCTTAAAAATATAAAATGGCATTGAGGTATTTCAAATTTACAACATTTGTGGGCAAGTGGTCTTTTCACTGATTCCGTCCAAGATAATTTGACAGAAGTTACTTACAGGGAGTGTTGGTTATTTAGCCAAACCTCAGGGTTTATTTGGCGGTTTGGTCAAAACTCAAGGGAGGTAAATGTAATTAACCCAAACTTTTATTATTATTCTTAGAGATAATTGAAGAAATCTCCCTGAGGTTTCTAATAGTTGCACTCACCTCCCCTAAGATTTTGAAAATAGCATTGACTTCCGCTAAAATTAATGTTTTAATAGCAGATTTAGCCCATGTTACAAAAAGTACCATTCAAAAAGTCTTTTGAGAAGTGAGATAATAATTTTATTTCAGTTGTATCCTTTTTGCCTCTTATGAGATTGTATTAGTAAAAGAATGAAATACATTAATAGTTAGAAACAATTAGTGAAACTCATGGGGATACAAGTGCAAAGAGAATAATTGCAACAGTAACAATTGGAAGAAACAACGAAAATTTGAGAGTCTAAAGCATATAAATTATACAACCAACTCCAAAAAAACTTTCCTTCACTAGTGTGCATAGAAGCTTCTCAAAAGTCAACAAAAGTATTTTTTTCTATGATTAGTTTGCTAGCTAAAAGTGAAGTAGTGGTGCCAAAATAATGGCTTCATCAAGCCATCAAGCCACTAGGAGAATCATGGAATTCACCAAAATGGCAAAGTTAGAACAACCAAATACCACAATCAACACACTACTCATCATCAATCTGATAATTACTTTGATGACTATTATTGTTGTACCTTTATTCTGCTTTCTCTCTCACCCGAATTTATTCTTGTTTCTTTCTCCTGTATTTTTCTTGTTTTTGCTTCTCTTCTATGCAAATAATATAGTAATTGGATTGTTCTCTCAAATGATCTCAATCACAAAATGGCATCATATTGGAGCATCAATTTGTGCCATTTTGTGGCACCATTTTATAAGTGCACTTGCAATGCCTAATCAGGAAAGAAATAAT